GGGCATAGAGGACCTACAATAATGTACAGTATTAGAAAAATAATGTGTTTTTTGAACATTAAAGCATGTCAACATATTCTGTTACACCAAATACACCAAATAATGATCTTTAAAATAGCATCATATGACCCCTTTAATTTGGGTGATGTTAAAAGCGCTGGTTTTGCCAGTATCATGCATAAAATGACCTGGCTACTTTATATGAGATAGCAAACGTGCGTCTGCAAGATGTCTGTTAAAGATCGCTTGATCTGGAAAGCATCTGCTGTATACAAACATCTGACAGACGTCTGTAAGATGTCAGTTTTACATACATTCTAAATCAAAAACATCTTGAAGACATCTAATAAACGTCTATTTGCCATCTGATAGATGTCATATTGCAGATGAGCAAACACTCTAAAATACGTCTTGCAGATGTAAATGCAGATATAATAGATGTCTCTGTGATGTACGTGTGCTGTGATCCCTTGACTCTGTAAACATCTTTGTATTTATCAGGGACGCTTTCTGCCTGACTGAGTTGGCTGACATGTTCATTTCCTTCATATTCTACTAACTGGCTAATTCACCAATTTCTTATGAGGTTTTAGAATGGTGGTTTAAGATTTGTGTGTAGGTCTGTGGTTAATATTTTGTTGTACAAATTTATACCTTACACCTGAAAGCATCTGTAACAAATTGCTATTTAGGGACAACAACAGTTTTGTCAAGCACATACACGTCCTTGTGGTAGTTTTAGTCTTTATTTAGCAGCTTGTTAGTGTGTAATTTATGTTGACATTAATATTTCTTAAAGGTCCCATGGCATGAAAATTTCACTTTATGAGGTTTTTTAACATTAATATGAGTTCCCCTAGCCTGCCTATGGTCCCCCAGTGGCTAGAAATGGCGATAGGTGTAAACCGAGCCCTGGGTATCCTGCTTTGCCTTTGAGAAAATGAAAGCTCAGATGGCCCAATCTGGAATCTTCCCTTTATGTCGTCATACGGGGAAAGGTTACCTCCCCTTTCTCTGCTTTGCCCGCCCAGAGAATTTGGCCCGCCCATGAGAAAATGAGCTACTACCGTGCGAGGCGAGCGCAATATTTTTTTTTCCTCGAGAGACATCATGGCTTGCAAACAAGCGAAGCATGGCAGTTGCCCCGCCTCTCTCCTCCTCATTAGCATTTAAAGCTACAGACACAGAAATGGCACGTCCTAAGGAAAGCTCATTGTGGGACTGGCTCGTAGTGGCTGAAATTCTGCACCAAGGCTGAATTTCGGGAAAGAGACTTCAGATACAGTACTAGGGACCACTTAGGCCTATATAAAAGCATCCAAAAAGCAGCATGTCATGGGACCTTTAAGGGAATGCTAAGTACAGACCGTATTTTACTCATAAATCCAAAACCGCCATTCTAAAAACCCGTAGGAAATTCCAAAGTGAACACATGGTTGAAAAATGGCTAATTATCTGGCTGGTTTTAGGACCTCAAACTGCTGTATTGGTTTAGCTGTTTTGGTTAAGCCTTTTGTACATGCCAGTACTTGATCCTGGTTACGTATTCCAGATATCATGTTACTTGATTTTGTAATATATTAACAGTCAGATTTGTTTTTTTTAGAAAAGAATTTCCATTGCATTTTATTTCAGTAGTGTTATGTGAAAACCACCTTTGCACATGAATATATGGATACAGTATAGTTTACAGAGACAAATGACGCTCAAGCCAAACAGGCCATCAAGCCTGTCAGCTATGGAATGCAGAGGGTAGCACCTGGCCCTGAGATATGGAAAGATATGGCTTCAAACAAGCACTTCTGTCCATTTCCAACAACGGAAACGGTGAACAAAAGGCAAGTACATTCACACCCAATGTGGGTGTATTTAATTTGTACCACTGTCACTTTATTCAAAGCTTAGGTATCTGTTTATTTCGTCTGACTGCTGACTGTTTAGGAATATCTTCCCTGACTCAATATGCCTTGCAAATATGAAATGGGATTTTAAGTAACTTGATAAAGTGTATGCATTGTTGAGTTAAACAACCTGACACGCTATGCAAAAATGCTATGTATGATAATGTATCAGTCAATAAAACATTTTCTTACCTTTCTAGCACTGTTACCGTTATCTAAGAGTGTATGCAGTTTACATTAGTATTTGTAAATCTGTTGGGTTATAGCTCTTGTATTTTTAAATATATTTCAAGAAGTATATATTGGCACAAGTATTTTAATGACCATAAATGCATATTTATAGTGAAAAAACAACACAGGTTTTACAGATGTTACTTAACTGAACCCAGTGCTTCTTTTCATCATTCTGCACATGACTGAAGATTTGGCAACTGGCTTTTTTTTTCTTTACCCATTGTACGCAGTGTTTTCACACGCACACAAAAACGTACCCCTCTGGCCTCTCACATGCAGACTGTGGCAGGTTAGATCTTGTAGAGGGAGTGTTCGTGGCCTTTAAACTACTTTAAATAATTTTTGGAAATGCAAGGTTTTTTGGCTTCCAGCTGTGGACGCATGTCAGAATTATTCTCATTTTTGCTTTACATATACAAACTGACAAGTTTTTCTAAACACGTCAAAAACAAAAGAGCAGCATGTATGACTGTTGTTGGCATTTGTCTCTTTTACAAAAATTATGAAGTAAGAAACATTTTAGCTGATGTCCATTCTATTCAGATGGTAAAAATTTTAAATTATAATAAAATACATAATTTATTGGCACCGCACACACACACACACACACGTAAGTTACTTGCTATGTTCACAAATGCTTCTAAGCATTTATGTGCCCAGTATGTAATTTTCTGCTTGGCTTTCTCACTGGTTCAAATGGCATGACTTTTAATACCCTGCAGCCTGGTGTAGACTTTCGTTTAGGTGGGGCTTTACCTGACACAAATATGAGTCAAATGTCACATAAGGAAATTGATGCAAGGCCTATATCTCAGGACTTAGTTCACCGCAAAATGAAAAACTATCATCATTTGCACACCCTCCACCTGTTCCAAACTCATATGAGTTTCTTTCTTCTGTTGAACACAAAATAATATATTTTGAAGAATGTTGGTAACCAAACAGTTGACGGCAGCCATTGACTTCCATAGTATGAAAAAAAAATACTATAAAAGTCAATGGGGACCTGTTTGGTCAACTGTTTGGTTACCGACATTCCTTAAAACAGCTTCTTTTGTGTTCAACAGATACAGCTTTGGAAGAAATTGAGGTAAATTTCTGTAAATTGAGTAAATGACGACAGCATTTTTCTGAATTTTTGGGTGAACTAGGCCTATCTATTCTAAGTCAAATGACCAAATAGTTGTTTTCTGTAGCAGATAGCTAGACACCTAGTTAGGAAATTGTTTTGAATAGTGTCCTTCATATAAACATAAAACCTATATCCAATATTGTCATATTTGGTAATAACTGTGGAGTGAACACAATGAAACCACACTGACACACATTCAGATAAAGGTTAACTATACAGTATAATAAAGACAGGTTTTAGTTGAACTGTTTTTAGTTTTTAGACAGGTTTTCATTTAACAGACTTCATCTTATGTACTTCATCAATGCACACAAAATAGTTAATAAAATAAACTAAAAACTCAAATATAAATATAATATTAAAAATACAATATTACGTAATAAGTATTAAAATGCAATATAGTACAATTGTATAACTACGATAAAATACAAGAATACATTAGAAATAAGACATGATTAAAATTAAGAATGTACATCTTTACATTTTCTAGCTGCTGTTCATTGTCTTGTTTTTTTTTATATATAATTTTGTTTTTATCTCACAAAGCTTTACTCATGGCTGGCTGAGCGGATTTGCAAATAAACCTATTTATTCCTTCTATCTAAAACCAAGCAGTGAAATGTTTACTTCAGTTTATTCCATCGTTCATTCTCTCCATTTCCCTTCCCCCATCACAAAATCAAAACATGACAACATGTGCAGCGTCTGTGTCACGTGTCAGAGACTGCAGCGGCAGAGAGCTCAGAATAAATCGGTCAGTGATCGACAGGGCCGAGAACCAATCAGCTTGGGAGTTCCGGGTAGCAACACAATAAATACAAACACGGCGGCCAATCACAAACGATGAGAGGCGTGCCTTACATTCCGCTTTTCTGAATGTTTACTTCCGTCAATATTCAAAGAAAATAAAAAAATTATCACCATAACAAAGGACTCGCTGTAAGTAAAGTTAAATATACGTTTATTATGAATACAAATACAGGATTTTGCGAGTAAAACAACGATAGAGATAGAGATTTGAGCTGTCTTTAGTGTTTTGTCGACGCTTAAAAAGATAAGGTTCTTGGCAGGGGTTGCATTTGAGCAAATTTATTGTCAGTAGTTGTTCAAGGAGCCAGAATCTCATCTACAATTTACAAATTAACATCAAAATGCGTTTTTGCATTTTTGTTTTTACAAAGATAATGTTTTACATCAAGATTCTGAAATAAGGCTCTTAAACCTTGAATGACTGTTATTGTGTGTTGTCTGATCAGATCAGGATGATATTGTTTCATCACGTGATATGTGACAAGCCTTTGTTGAGTTATAATGGTTTGAGATAAGAGTCTCTTGTATTCAGATCTTTGCAGCAGGTGGAAGAAGATGCCGTTCTTGGGCCAAGACTGGAGATCACCAGGCTGGAGCTGGATCAAAACTGAGGATGGCTGGAAACGCTTTGAATATTTCAACCACAAACTGGGAGACAACATCAATGAACTTTCCTTGGAAGAGTAAGAAATGCTTTGAAATATTTCAGTGCAATGTAGTGACAGTTCTAGGGTGATAGTTTTGGGGTTCAAACCTACAACCTTTCAGTTACCACCTCCGATCTTTAACCACAAGGCTACACCACCTCAGAAAAGCATTGAGGAACAGTCTAAAAAGGAAGTGTGTATGTGGCATGTGGGAAGTCAGATATCCGTGTTTAGACCTGGTGTGTGTTATTTTCACCGTCTGTGGTTATTGTCTGGAGTAGCATAGAATAATAGCCAGCTGTGAACTGGTTTTGAATGTATTCACACAATGATACACTGACTGAGCTAAAAACACCTTAGTCTGACCATGCTGTCATGGAAACAAACCTGAGGTCGGTCAGACAGACTACGAGGAAACGTGAACATTTGAAACCGTCTGGATGTGTGAAGACGCAGGTAGGATGTTTGGATAGTTTTAGTGTACCTCTGCATCACATGTGATCTCTGTGTTAAATTTCACTAGACAATAGAGCGCACACTCACCTGTGTAAGCTAAAACGTCTTCAGATCTTCAGAACTCATTTAGCAATACTTGGATTAATTAATTAAAAAGAACTTGCATTGGTTTGTTTATTTGCACTACTGTAGGTTTTATTGCATTTTGTGTCAAGTTTATGTGTACTAGTTAGTGCTCCTAGCAGATAAAAGTCTAAATTGCATGCTTGCCATCTGTTTATCTCACGACCATATACTTTTTGTAGGTCACTCTGAATAATATGGCTTAAAAGAGGAAATGTAATGTCTAAAGCTTATTTTGTTATAGTCATAATAAACTTTACCTTATTAACTTTACAGATTGGACAATGACAAGGAGAATGTCTACGTGGGAGATGTCTGTGAAGTAGCTGCCAAGAAGAGAAAAAAAGACTTCTTCAACAACAATACTAAGTCACAGTGTAAAAATTATATAATATTTTATTACATCACACTTAATTATCAAAACAATAGTTTTCTTTAGACAGTGGGCCATTATACAATTTAGTGTTCATTATACAAAAATATATGACCGTAGAATGCTACAAGTGTCCAATCAGAATCAAGTTTTCTAGAGAGCTGTGAAATGATTACTAATTTACTCTTTTTTTTTTTTTTTTCTTTTTTTTTAACACCTTAGCCAATCACAGATAAATGCAAATATAAACCTAAGCAGTTGAAAATTCTGTCATCATTTACTCACCCTCAAGTTTTTCTGGACATCTACGCATTTCTTTCTTCTATGGAACACAAAAGAACATATTTTGAAGGAAATTTGGTTAACCACACAGTTTCAGTTCCCATTGATTTGAAACTGTTTGGTTAGCAACATTTTTCAAAATATCTTCTTTTACGTTCCACAGAAAAAAGAATGCCATTCACGTTTGGAACAGTATAGGGGTGAGTAAGTGAAAGAATTTTCACATACCTTTAAAGTTATAGTATATAGATGAAATTTATTGTATTGTTTTTCTCAGTTTTGTTCCAGGAGAGGTGGATCTACGTTCAGAAGGAGAGTACGCGAGAGGTGAGATGAATTATGTCATGGCATCAACATGTACAAGACTCAAAGAGTAGCAAACAAACAACATGAGTCATAGAACGTTTGATGCCATTGTTTATATATCACAGTTCTTCCATCGGTAGTCTTTTCTAACATTTGTCAAATGTGAACCGTGTGTTTGTTGTTGCAGAGGCATGGGTACTGTACGCTTGGTGAGGCCTTCAATCGTCTAGACTTTTCCAGCGCCATTCAGGATGTGAGGCGCTTCAACTATGTGGTCAATGTAAGTAAGAACAATTGCAAGAATGCCTCTCTCCATTTGATTTACTTACTCTGCTTTCCTTCTGTATCCTCTCTCACGTTATCCACTTTGTTTACTTCTCTTAGCTTCTGCAGTTGATTGCCAAATCCCAGCTGACGTCTTTGAGTGGAGCTGCTCAGAAAAACTATTTCAATGTCCTGGAGAAGATTGTGAGAAAAGGTGAGCTGATCTTTTTTTTTTCTGACTTTATCCAGTTGCATAGAAAATGTGGAAGACATATTTTCCTGATATATGTGCTTATATAAATGTACACGTATATTTGTTTGTTTTTAATCGCACAGTTCTGGATGACCATCAGAACCCACGTCTGATCAAGGCGTTGTTGAATGATCTAAGCTCCACACTCTGCATCCTCATCCGAGAAGTTGGGAAGTCTGTGCTGATTGGCAACATCAACATTTGGGTCTGCCGTTTAGAAACCATCTTAAACTGGCAGCAGCAGCTCAACAATTTACAAATTCCAAAGGTAGTCTTTTCATAATTTTCTTAAGGGTTAGGCATGGGCAAAAGTGGGTCAGTGGGTTTTCTGAATGAGTTCTGAATGAGCACCAGAAAAGGAAAGATAAATAAATTCATTTGTATAAATGCACAGATCAGTTTCACAGTCAACAGTAGTGGGATGATTAATAAATAATATGATTATATTAACATGATTATGTTATTATTCGATATCATGTAGCATTTTAAATTTGTTACAGTATGCATTTATTATATAAAAAAATGAAATGTTATTACATAATATATAATTAATATAAAATAATAAATAACCTTAAATTAATTATAAATCAATAAACTAATAAAACATTACTAAATAATAAATAAATAATCATACAGTATATCATAATAAATATATCACATTTATTTAAAGGGATAGTTAAATGAAAATCTCCCATAGACAGCAAGGATCCTAACACGATCAACGTCCATAAACGTAGCAAGGAGATCGGTAAAATAATTCATGTGACATCAGGGGTTCAACCGTAATTTTCCGAAGCTATGAGAATACTTTTTGTGCGAAAAAAAAAAAGGACTTTATTCAAGAATTCGTCTCCTCCGTGTCACCGTAGCGCCATTTTGGAGAGTATCCACTGAACGCAAACAGTGTATGCTATTCTGTGTCAGCTGCGCCACGCGGATACGTTTTCTATGTTGTTTGTGCTTTGACTTGAACGTAAAACAACGTATCTGTGTGGTGCGGCTGACACAGAACAGCATACGCGGTTTGCGTTCAGTTTTTTTTGCGCACAAAAAGTATTCTTGTAGCTTCGTAAAATTACGGTTGAACCCCTGATGTCACATGGATTATTTTACCGATCTTCTTGCTACGTTTCTGGACCTTGATCGTGTAAGGACCCTTACTGTCTATGGGAGGGTCAGAGAGCTCTCAGATGCCATCAAAATATCTTAATTTGTGTTCCGAAGATGAACAGAGGTCTTGCGGGTTTGGAACGACATGAGGGTGAGTAATTAATGACAGAATTTTCATTTTTGGGTGAACTAACCCTTTAAGGCCAAATGACTAAATATTATAAAAATGCAGAAAAATAATAATCAGTGGTAAAATATAATGCTAAATAGCCTATGTCTTGTTGCAGCAAGTTTCAAATGGCATGACACTGAGTGACCTCCCTTTGCACATGCAAAACAACATCCTGTATAAGTTTAGTGATGCCTGTGACATCATCAATCTGGGACAAGCCACACCAACACTGCACATGCTCAGTGAGGACCGGCATCTGTGGAAGAAACTGTGCCAGTTTCATTTTGCTGAGAAACAGGTGAGGAAGCTTCAAATTGCTTCAAATTGAAGAATTGCCCATATATAATTGTCTGTTTAAGCACGTAATAACCATTTATCTTTGGAGATTAAAACTAGCTGAAAGTTGGGTCAGTGACCTAATTTGACCACAAGATGGCAGTCAGGCTTGTTCCTCACAGAGCTCACTGTTTGTGTGTTCAGTTCTGCAGGCACTTGATTCTGTCAGAGAAGGGCCATGTGGACTGGAAGCTGATGTTTTTCACACTTCAGAAATACTACCCTCAGAAAGAACAGTACGGAGACACTCTGCAGTTCTGCAAGCACTGTAGCATCCTCTTCTGGAATGTAAGAAATCCTTATTTAAATGTCAAACATTCTGATCTGTGAATAAACAGCAAGACATCCCTCCTTGTTACTATGTAGATTTAAGTGCTCTTCTCAAACGTTTCCCTTGTTGAAGCCCTGTACAGTTTGTGCACACTTGATTGCTCCTACCCCTGCATGCTTTATTTGTGTGTGCAAATATCTTCTATAATTGCAGTTTGTGGGCAGAAAACCTTATAGCCACAATTATCAACATACAAGCATCAGTTTGTTCCAGTCATCTTTATTTAAAATATAGGGGACCAGTATTAACCAGTATATACTCTAGCATTAAAACATTTGGGGTCAGTAAGATTAGTTAAATGTCTCTTATGCTTACCAAGTCTGAGCAAATGTTAATTTTGTTGGTGAACTATTCCATTAAGGCCTCAGTCTCTATAAGCCTTTTTACTGGGCACAAAAAAAGTGAAGTAATATCGTGCAATGTTTAAAATAATTTGAAAAACGAAGAAGTGTTGAATATATTTTCAAATGTAATTTATTTATGTGATGTCAAAGCAAAATCAGTCATTGCTTCAGTCGTGTCACATGATCCTTCAGAAATCATTCTGATATGCTGATTTGCTGCTCAAGAAACGTTTCGTATTATTATCATCAATGTTGAAAACATTGCAATGCTGTATAATATTTTTGTTCTGATACATGTTTTTCAGGATTCCTTGATGAATACAAAGTTCATACGAAAAGCATTCATCTGAAATAGAAATCTTTCGTAACATTGTAAATGTCATTACTGTCACTTTTGATCAATTGAATGCATTTTTGTGAAAAAAGTATTAATTTATTGAAGAAAATATTCTTTCTTGCCCCAAATGTTTGAACAGTAGTGTATTTAAAAGAATAGCTCATTCACATAAATGACAGAAGCTGAAAAATTAAGGCTCACTTTTAACATACTTATTTTCATTTTGAAAAAGTTTAATTTCAACACTTTCGGGTTCTTTCTATTCAGTAATATCAGCCCTCTTCCTGTACCCTTTGACCTTTTATTTTTTTTCCTGTTCTCCTCCTGGTCCCTTATCTCCTAAAGGACAGACACCTGGCTTTGATCTTTAAGGTACATGCTAAATCTTATATGAGTGTGCCAGCGTTTTGAAATTAGTGTCTGTAAACAAAATTTGTTTTGCTTCATCAGTCATTTTTTTCTTTTTCTCATCACCGTTTCTGTCCATCATTCTGTCTTGCATTTCAGTCCATTCAAATCAGCTGGACTTTATCTGTCTTTTGTATTCATTTAATATTTGTTTGGACATTTATCTAAATGTATTCTTTTTTTCCATTTGCTTTTTTATGTCGTCAGTATGTTCCACAACGTTATACACTAATGCTAATCACATGAACATACATACAATGACCATTATTTTTGCTAATACTAATTAGGAATTTGAACAAACCTCTAAAGCCCCGTTCACACCAAGAACGATAACTATAAAGATAACGATATTAGCGTCCACACCAGTGAACGATATCGTCTGTTTATTCTAAGCGCATGTGCGCCTGCCGCTTTAAATTCTCGAGCTCGTTACAGCAGGATGGATTCTGATTGGCTGTCAATGTTTGCATCGTTCATCAGCTGGAAAAAATAGTTCTGAAAAGGATTCCAACGATATCGTTTCTCTGTGCCTTTATCGTTATTGTTGCAGTGTGGACTCTGCTATTCTTTAATATTGAGAACTATTTTTAGAACTATATCTTTATAGTTAACGTCCTTGTGTGAACGGGCCTTTACAGTGCTAGATAGTAACTGGTTATATGTAATCTGGATTAGGTTACACTTTATTTTACAGTGTCTGTAAAATAATATGATAAACAAAATGACCTAAAATGTGTAAGGTAATAGATTACATTACTAACTACAATTTTACAATTTGTAAGTAATTTACCCAGCACTGGTAACTCATCTTCTAGATTATTAAAATGTTTTTTCACGCTAACTGTTCACTGAAAGCTTCTTTGGGGGAACCCAAATTGGTTTTTCCCTGGAACTGTTTATTTTTAAGAGGGAAGAAGGGACCCTAGCCACCAACCAATGTGGCAGCGACTTCCTCAGAAAATGTTTTAAACTGATTCTCTCTTTCCGTCTCAGGACTCAGGACATCCTTGCACAGCGAACGATCCAGACAGCTGCCTCACCCCCGTCTCTCCTCAGCACTTCATAGACCTCTTCAAGTTCTGAAATTCAGAATGTTCTCGGACCTCTGACCTTTTGATAACCTCTAACCAAGACTCTGAAACTGATCAGATATGTTCGACTTTTCAACTCTGTGCTCCAAACCATGTCCTTTCCTTTTATGTTTCCCAGACAGTCGTTCTGTTATTAAAACGTTCAAACTTCCGAAAATGTAACTAATAATTGAATTTTCTGTTGCCTCACCCAAACTTTAAGGGCTTATGGAAAGATGTCATAATATTAGTGTTTCTTTTGTATTGTCCTCTTTTTTTTTTTTTGTTCCTCATTACGTTCTCAGAGAATTCATTTGTTCTTTAAGCACAGAAAGATGGGAGATAAACAGCAAAAAGAGGCAGGATATGTGAAGGTTTGTTAAAAAAGAAAAAAAAAGAAAAAAAAATTGCTTTTGGGAAAGACAAACTGAAGCGAAAAGTGTGGGAGATCCTAAGCAGAGGTTATCTTGTCTTTTCATGTATGTATTTTCATTTCTATACCAATGAAATGCATGTCAGAAGTAGTCGTAGGTTCATGTTTACGTGGGTTCTCGTGTCGTTTTGTCATGCTGTGCGTATATATTTGATGCGTCAACACTAAAGTGTACATTTGCTGCACAAAACAACTTTTTACGATACACTTTTGTCAAATCTGTTGCGAGGGCAGATGGAAAATCTAATGTAAGCTTTGCTATTTATGAACAAATGTATTTTATATCCTTTCTCTGAACTTTGTAATATTCCTTTGCTATTCCAGTAATATAAATGTCATTGAAATGGGTTAAGTGTAGGATGTGTTTGGTACGATCAAGCATTTGCAAGAAACATCGTTACCTAAAATAATTAAAACTTTTGGGAAATAGGTTTTGTGATTTTTTTTTGGTGCCCAGAAAAAAGACTGATAGAGACCAAGGCCTAGGAATAGTTCACCAAAAATGAAAATTTGCTTAACATTTACAAACCCACAGGCCATCCAAGATGTAGGTGAGTTTGTTTCTTCATCAGAACAGATTTGGAGAAATTAAGCATTACATCACTTGCTCACTAATGGATCCTCTGCAGTGAATGGGTGCCGTCAGAATGAGAGTCCAAACAGCTGATAAAAACCACTATAATCCACAAGTAATCCACATGACTTCAGTCTATCAATTAATGTCTTGTGAAAAGTTGTGTGTTTGTAAAATACAAATCCATCAAGACGCTTTAACTTTAAACTGTTACTTCCAGCTGAAATACGAGTTGTTTATCCAAAATATTGCTTTCTTCAGTGAAAAGGTCATCTTGTCTGAATCAGGAGAGAAATATGAACAGATCGTGCTTGATTTAACTGTGAAAACAGTCCAAAACAGCTCTAAATAAAATATGTGGATTTTGTTTTTCAAAAACATAAAAAAAATCTTACTGAAACTTTTTGTGGGGGAAAAAAAATGCTCGAGTACAAAGTAACTTTTTATTCCGATTCACCAACTTATCTGAACCCCTGGAACAACATTTTATTATTTGCATTTAAATCATAATACAGAAAAAAAAATCATTCAGTAGTATCAAGCTAGAAATCAAAATAAGATTCTCGCAAAGGCCCAAAATATAAAGAGCAAAATCTGAAACTAACAATTTGTAATCATCTTTCAAAGTTGAACACATTGGTAGACTAATTATATAAAGCTACTTTGAACAACTAAGAGCAGCAAACCCACTTACTTTCAGAATCCGATTATAAATAATCTCCTAAAATCAGTAATAAGACTCTCAGACATGTTCTTCTAGCAAACCAAAGATCTTAGGCTGTTCAATGGCATCGTAAAAATACATTTTATATTGGACTTATAAATGAGTATTGTCATTTTTTATCGTGTTGGAAGAGAATAACTGGTTAACATGTTGTGATCACAATACAAAATGAATTTTAAGTCGAGGCACAGCAAAGAAGAATACTTCATGATAAATGGCACAGCTCTTGAGGTCTTTGGAAGGCTTCAAATATTAAGGTTTGTAACGGTAATCGTTACCATAAGACATCTGGATACTCATCCAACCTGCTTCAGAACTTAGTTTCAATCCTAGAAGACTGTTTTTCCCAAATGAATCCAATAACTATAATTAGCCGTTTTATAATTTTATAAATTTATAAAGCTGTTTTATATATATATAATTAGCTATAATGAAAGCTCCAAATCTCCAGCGACAGGACCGAGCACATACACATTCAATTTATAGCTGTTCCTTGTATGTCTCATCAAGTCACAGTAAGCTCTTCTTGTGACTGAATAGTGGCACCACTGAATAAATTGTAAGCATGATCAAAATAGCAAGTAGTTTGGGATTATAGCAAGAAAATCATTGCATAGAGTAATTACAGTACATTATGATTGAAACAGCAGGCAGTAGATCTACACTGATCAGTGGAAGGCGGTTCACTCTTCAACTACATAGCGGAATAAATTAATGACAAGTCACAAGTGAATCGAAGATTCAAGCATTACATACAAAGCATCGATCTCTTGTCAGTAGCGAGTTTGTCGATTGAGACGCATCTGTCTGTGACGATGGGTACTGCAGTGTGCACTAATAAAACTTGGATTTAAAGAGACAGTTCACCTACAAAATGAATATTCTGTCGTCGTTTATTCACCCTTATGTCACCCCAAACCAGTTTGATTTTATTCTGTGAAAAAGAGAAGTTTAGCAGAATGTCCTGACTGACTTTTCATACAATGATTTCAGAAGGATGAATGGAGACTTATTGCTTTATTCAATGACATTGGCTGTTTCTCACATAATATCTGAACTGTAATTTGGAATATATATTATGAGACTTTATTGTAATTTTAGCAGCTACCATGTCTACTGAATAGACAATAGACCTTGGTCAGGATAGTGCCATATTTATTTTTTAACAGGGATAAAAACGAGGTTGTGAGGGATAGAAGTAGCACAGCGCGTTCAATGTATTGTACCGCTATTTAAAAACATGCCGATTGCTAAGCCTTCGAAATGTCTTTCTGAAAAACTTTTGGTAGACAAAAACGTAATAAAACAGTTTTGAAAGATGTGAAATTTATGTGATTAGGACCTGTATACAGTACATGCCATTGTAAAGACTGCAAAGTCTATCCCTCACAGCCTCGTTATCATCTGCGTTAAATTCAATATGGTGTCTGACTGAGGTTTATGCTTCTTGGGACATTCTGCTATTCTTCATCTTTTGTGTTCAACATAACAGGTTTGAAGAACATTTCAAAAATCAGGTTTGGAATGACATGAGGGTGAATAAATGATTTTCATTTTTGGTTGAACTCTCCCTTTGAGTGTTTAAATGTCTTTTATAGCCTTTAAAAGTAATGTACTAAACAGCATGGTGATTAACTATGAGTACATCCAGTGATTTCTCTGAAGGAGCTCCATTCAAAAGTTGGACACGCATTTTATATCAAATGGAAAAGTGACAATAAATCATTCAATCAGGCACTCTTGGTCTGAGGGTCCTACTCTTCACATCGGTGGGCTGTCCAATTAGAGTTGGTATACACGGGGGTGTGGCCATCCTCACAGACATTAATACGTAAATCATTTTAGCCCCTCCCAATTACTTTCTGATAGGCTGGCTGGACTTCGGCGGCGAACGGCGGCTAATTTATCTCGTGCCCGAGCTGCCCACTGGGCAGGGCCGCCCGTCTGTGATTCAGTCAGACTAGAGTAACGAGACGAGTCCTCCTCCGAACCCAAGCCAACCCAGGACGGCAAACCCAGAGAATGCGGCAGAGACAGTGACAGAGGGGAGGAGAGCGGGGATGAGTCGCTCCTCTTCTTCTCCGGCTCATTTTTTTCCTCCTCCATTCCATCGTTCAGCTGAGGCGGCTCCCAGCCCTCAATCTTGTCGATCTTCCTCGTGGGTGTGATTTGCTTCATCGTCATCGTGATGCTGTCCCACAGACAGTGTGCTTTGTCTTTTTCTGGGTGTGCTTTACTCTTTTCATCCTCACAGTTTTTCTTAGCAGACCTGAGAGAGAATGAAGAAGCCTGATTTATTATAAAGTGAAAATATTTTACCATAAAAAGTTATTAACACCTCTGGTACTGCTTGGATGATAAAATGATATTGATAAAGTTCAATAATTAAACAAATTAAGCGAATTCCAAGAAATTTCAGCAAATATATATATATATATATATATATATATATATACTGTATATACACACGGGCAACATTTGACTCTCGAGTCAGGGGGGCAAGAAAAAAAAAAGAAATCTTTTACGGATGTAGCCTATGCATCAAAACAATGCACTACCATATTGCAACGCATTGTGTCAATATAGCGCAGTGAAGAATTGTCCAAAGAGGTTGCCTGTGTTAGGGTTGGGCCGATAGACGGATGGCTGATAGAATCACGATGTTGAGTCGACCGTGATTTACCCCCATCCCCGCCCCGCAATCCAACGCATCCCAATACCGTGTTCGAGGAAAGAAAATTACGTGTTACGGAACCCCTAAAGTGAATAAATACGAGATGGGAGGAAAATACATATTTTAATAATTTTTCTCACAGTTATATCATTGGGTAATTATACTGTATTGTGGGCATCAGGGAGCAGCTATTATGCCTGGCATTGAAACTGCTTTTGAATGCCCGATCGCTTTTTAGTTTCACTTTCACTTTCTAGATTCGCGATCGCACGTAGTGTGTTTATACTATGGAGCGGCAGTACTTACCACACATTTTACAAGATTAAATGTTTGTCAGTGGTGCTGAGGATCTGAAAATCATTCGCCATCGTCCTCAGTCTTTCTCTGTTTATGTGGTAAGTGAAATTTTATGTACTGTAATGTAACAGGCAACCGTTAGCAATCGTTTTCTGAATATGGATTCACATTTATTCCGCTTCCAGAATAAATCACCTAGGGATTTTTGTCCCGTCCATTGCTTATCGCTGATATTTCGAGAATGAATCCAGCATAATTCTCGAAACTTTGCAGCATGTATGTGTCTGAAAAACGAAAGTTTTATTCAAATTCTGAATGGATTATAGCCTAGAAAACACACAAAGCGCGCTCCCTTTAGTATCACTAAAAGAATCACTCATCAAAGTTCATCGCGATCTCACAAAGTTCCGTTATAATCAAGCTCTTTTATTTATATAATATATAACCGTTCAACCGTAATTTTACGAAGCTACAAGAATACCTTTTGTGCGCACAGAAAACAATATTAATAACAATTTATTAAACAACGTAATCAGCGTTGTTTACGTTCAGCATGTGCGTGCTGTCTACTGAACATAAACAACGCTGATTACGTTCTGGGGTACTCTCCAAAATGGTGGAAGACGGTAACTTGGGGAGAAGAATTGCTGAATAAATTATAATCAAGCTCTCTAAACTACACAATAAATCTCTTATTTACATCGCGTCTGCACTTAGTTAGTCATGAGATGATTCACAAGCGTGCAAAACTCTGGCTCTTTCAGCGGTGAGTGAATTCTGAAAACTCTTACGTTTGTGATTGGCCATTGCGTTAAAGAAATCAAAAGATATGTCTTTGATTGGCTACATTGCTCAACCCTGCAAAAACACATTAGATAGTTTGCCAGATCTTTTAATAGCTTTTGCTTTCGTTTGGGGGTATTTAGCACCGTCTAGTACCCCCGTACAACCAGGCCTGGGCTGACATCGGGGATTCCATGACTGACGATATGGGGGGGCGGGCCCCCCTTGCCCCCCCCAATGTCGCCT